ATGTAAATGTTACCAAAGATAATGTTTCGGTAGTTACTGAGGTGTTTAGGTTTGCGTTTATACAGTGAAGTACTGATAAAAGTGGTAGAATACATAAAGACTCGTTTGCCTGATTTGCACCAATTGTCATTTATGTATGTGAATCACTCAATAACAGAACCACTTAAACTGAATCCAATTGGGTTAGAAAGTTATCAATATCCGAAAGAGTTACGTGTAACATGACCGTCATTTACACGAAGGCGGTTGCCATTGATTGAAATCGTCCGACACCTCCCCAAATTAAAAGGCCAACCCACATTCTCTCTCTCTCTCTATACGAGAGTGCAACCAACTGTGTTGTACTAGTGAAAGCATATAGTCAAACCAGGTTGTTGTTCGGTAGCATACTACATCAAAGTTCTCAAGGTGATTTGAAGTTGTAAGCGAAGTAGAACCAACTGTATGGGGTTGGAGCTCAACCCTGGTTGATAAGCTCCGTTGTATTGCATTAGTATGACTGAATCCAATGCAGTTTTCACATTTCTTACGTTTGGAAACAGCGATCATAGACACATTTCCGGCGGCACGTTTACGTCTCCAGTTTACCAATCAGCCGATTATTTCCATCAACCTCAAAGATAAGTTGTTTATTTCTACCTTTTATATGATTACTTAGTTGTTTGCTCATGTTCAGCAGGTTACATAGATCCATCAGGCAGTTTTCCCAGAGGACCAAGGAATACAAACCAGCCTGTTTGTGTACCAGAGACAGAAAAATCGTCTTCAGTGCCATTGTGAAACACCTCGCAAATACAGGACAGTTTGTGAGTGCAGATACTTTTAAGGTGATCTACTGGGTGCCTCCTTGTCTATTTAGCAACAACTGAGACAGTAGCTATCCGTCTGTTTAATTCATCGTTGCTGTTCACAAAAGCGATTTGTTAAAGCACTTCAAGCACGATGGCCACTGTGTGGATTCATTTGTATGACTGCAGATGACTCTGTCTATGAATCCATGACCCTTCTGATGAAGCCTGTGACCCTTACAGGTGATGGTTAAACTGGACTGGGCTTTAATCCTAAGGTGCCTCATCCCTACTCCCATCTACCCAACAATCATTTCGTTTGTAAATAGCACACAATCAATCAGTGATACTTACCAATCAAATCTTCACACAAATCAAACGTTATGCAAATGTGATGTGCCTCTTACCTATTTATGTAACTGTATTAGCCAGATAATGAAGTTATCGAAAAGAAATGAATCAACCCGAGGCAGCACAAGTGAAAACGGTGTAAAAAGGTTGAAAAGAAGAGAAACAAAGTTATCAAGGGGAAAATAATGGAATACGTGCTGTTAGGATTTTTCTGTGCCTTTTCAAGTTTTCGTTCATCGTGATGATTGATATTGGGTCAGTATCGTGAACATGAAAGGGGCGGAACAATAAGTCTCACCTTAAGCAAACGATTATCCATAGCGGCCGGAATGGCGCCTTGCAGGTCCATTCCAAAGGCCCAATCTGGACCGAGAGCAGCACCCACAGATTTTGTACTGGACTCGACAGCGCGATTGTCCGGTACAAGAACCAGCTGGGACGGTGTACCACTGGGTGCGGGAGGATCATTAGATGCTACTGGTTGCTCATCGGTGGCAACCACATAACGCATACGTCGGATCCGAGTTGAACTGGACGGTTGATCACCAGTTTGATCGGGACCTGAGGCAGCAGCTGCAGCAGTCTGCCCACGTGTATCACGCAAAGAACGATCCCGTGCATCTAGTAAGAAGCGAGCTGCAGACGGATCTAAGAAGGGAGTGCTGATACTGGCGTCCTTGATTGCCCAGACAACCTGACATCCGAGAACCTCGTGGGCGATCTCCGTTGCGATTCCACCATTACCCACGAGTAGCAAGCGACGAGTGTCTAACGGAACAGTGGAACAAATTCGTTTGGGTTCGGTGTAGATGGGCTGTGAAGTACATAATTTCGTACACATTTCTCACATCTGGCATAAAGTATAACAGATTATATCCACTTGGGGGTTTTGTGACAATAACATGGACGTGAAACCGAGCTTGGATAACTTAAAACAGTTAGCGCGTTGGATTAACAACCCTTCTTGCACTGGTTCGAATCCAAGTGGATTCAGTGGACATGCCCAGCTACTGATTCTTAGCAAGCATGAAACAGCGGGGTATTGCTTTCAATGATGAGTGGCTCGTTGACTCTGGAAGATGAATATTACTTCATAAACAGATTCTGATGTCTGTATAGTCCCTCGGACTAAATCAGAATGTCTAATTCAATCAATGCATCTATATGTGCTCAAGGGCTGTCGGTCATGGATTGTGCAGTTGAGGGTAAGCATTCCAACTCCTAACCTAAAGGAACCCGGACAAGGACAAAAAAATATACACAGCCAACGGGTCTCAACAAAGATGACATTCTATCAACCATCACGCAATATATCATAAGTAACAATAACGATAACGTGGTAATGTTATGAAACGTATTCATTTAGGCAAAAACAAAAAAAGTTGTTTACATAATCGTCACGTCATTATGTCCCGAGAATGCCGTGAGAAAAAAGGGGTGAGGTCAAGGACGCAACAGTACTGCCAATCGAACTGAAAGGATATATGAAGAAGCTCAGTGGTTCAAGGATTAGACGTCTACGGAAGAGTTTTGAGGTCAATAGTTACGGTCACTGAGTTCAATGCGGATGTGAAACTCAGTTCCACAGAACTAAATCCTTACAAGTGTGAAGATCAATGTGGAGGGAATATGTCTTCTAAAATAAGAACTTTAAATTTGACATCATCACTGTACAGCGAAATACTGATCGCTGCTAAAGTTACGGATAATTAAGGTGGACAGGGGGAGTGGATCTGTTTTGAGAGAGGGAGAAAGGAAGTTAAACCTATGGACATTGCGCATGCACACCCCTTCGAGCATGCTGACCTGATAAAAATGGGAAGAACGCCACTGTTGTCGGATCGCTGCCATATCCTTCAGTGTTAGCAACCAACTAGTTACGGAGTTCTGTTGGAACCCAGTGTGGAAGGAGAGGAACTAACTTCTAACAGGTCTCTTTGTGCACTTCTTTACACCTTGTCCGGACGTCATCTGTTGACCTCAACGTGATTTTGTTCAGCCCGGAGCAGCAACTGCAACTAAGGTGGTGCCTTGGATGGCGGTTAGGCCTGTGCAATAAGTATCCTAACAAGAAAAGCTTACTAGACTGAATTTGAAGTGGTAACGAAGTTTTCACCGATGAGTTCTCAAACAAAATACGGTTTACCTCGAGGTTTCTAAACTGGTCACTTCATTATACTTACTCAAAACTATAGAAGTATCGGTTTTCGAAAACTTTTTGGTAATAGATGTCTTCTGTTTGCAAAATCTATAACTCATAGACCTAAAACAGAACTGACCGAATGGTAGTACAATACACACGAGCTTTCAACTTCAGTAAAACGTTACATCGATGCCAAAAGTGAATCAGTTCTGCATACACTGCTTCAGCCTTGTGTGGTTATCTCATTAACTGCGTAATTTCAATGAGCGATCGATAGTTGATTGTTAGCCTGAGCATAGTCTGTTCAAAGTAATCAGCAGAAATTCCTTACTAATGATTCGCATGCAGAGGGCTTCTTAGAAGCAGACAAATGTATTAGAAGCCGCACCATCTGGTTTATTCCCCTAAGAAGGCATTGACTATACCCTCAAATCGTTCATCACCAACTTGTTTGGTTTGTTCGTCACGTGTGTTCGCTGACAAGTGCGGTTTTTCATGGCATCAGTTATCCACCAACCAAAAGTGAACAGCGCGGCATTCAAATACCTCAACTTCCGGGGTTATGATTTGGCCAGAGATGAACACAACCAAGTGGCAAAGATCTATTTTGAAAAAGTACACAAATACAAACTAAAAGAGTTCAGCCGATGACCGAACGGGTTGTATTTGTGCGTTCTATCTGCGGTCCCCGGTTCGCGATCCACCATTGATTCGATGGACGTGCACTGCTGATGAGACCCAACAAGGTTTCAACAGCTGCACAGCGCTTCCCAACCTTTCAGTTCATGTTTCTATTGCTCTGCACACGATGTAGTCGCTCATATTCTCGGGATTAGCCTAGTCAACGGTAGCATGGATTGCGTGATTTGGCCTGAGTACTTTAAATACATCCAGCTTGCTTGCACTTGATACCTCTTTATCTTGGTGTCGCTTTGGGCCTTTCGTTTACTGTTACTCTTTCTTCATTAGTTGACTCGGAGTAGTGGAAAGATAGTAACAAAATCAGTGCATGGAAGAGAAGCATTACTGAGCGAACAAACTAAACTGAACTGCCCCAGGAGAACTAGTGCACATAATGTCCGACCAGTTTTCCTACTATCAACTAACACGGTTAGATCGGGAAAAAAGTAATTTACGTGCAGGCCTAAGAATTATGCTGTTATCAAGATCCTAACTATGTTTATATGAATGACTTCATACAATGGATACCAGATATCTTTTCACAGTCTCAAACTACCGAAGAGCTTAGCTTGGATGCAGTGAGATTTCAAATCGGGAGGCGCAGTAAGTCGTGTAATCAGTGGCAGCTAACTCTCTATCGCACGTGATTGGTCAGTCTTGCTATCAACTTTGCGATTACTGATTAATCCAGTGTCTTATTGATCGGTATGGGTCTTGTAAATAAATTCGGCAGAACTACAATCAGTTCCGTCTAGTTTAGTGACTTGCGTTCTTCCTGATCAGGGATAATCAGACCAGGACAACACACAGACGCAACGCGAACCTTCAATAAAACATATGGTTCTGCTCATTCCGAAACGTACCAAACCCAAGACAAGCGTCAAGCACGATCAGTTTGTCATCTGCATATGGTATAAGTATCTGTATACTGTATAGACTGTGTGATCCGCAAACCAAGTTACTACCTGCCACTGAAGCCGGCATGCACAAGGTTTCAGGAGGAAATAATTACGTCTGCAAGATGGATAACGTCTGGCATGGGTCGAAGAAATAAGTTTACAAAAAAAATGGCCCGAGGCTGTGGCTTTAAGGCAAAAGACGAAATAAGAGTGTCAAATCAAAGACATTTAGGTCAGAGCTGTGATCATTAGTAGATCTGTAGTCAGCTTCTGCTGGGGAAATCATACTCATTCCCTTCCTTTATCGGAGGTTTACCCCACCAAAGCCAACAGGTGGGGCTATAACTGGGTCGGCGAACCACTGGCAGGGGAGTAGACTAAAACACT